CCCCAAAACCCCAAAACCCCAAAACCCCAAAACCCCAATAAATTTTGTTGAAGTTGAAACTCCCCGATTAAAACTTTGAGTCAATTCCTTACTTTTTGATGCTGTATATCTTCATTGAATATTTTATACACAGAAAGAAGTAATGACATCTATGAAAGTATCCCTGCCGAAGTTTTATGCTGACGTTTGTGATGAGTTACCTCCTGAATACTCAGACTATGAGAATTTTGAAGTCCATTTTGATAAAATGGAACAGTACGAGCTCATTAGGAGGATTGGTCGAGGTAAATATAGTGAGGTCTTTGAAGCCATAGATACTTCAAAGAATAACCTTAGAGTCGTAATAAAGACACTTAAACCAGGTAAGTTGCTGAGATTTATTAATTTTAGTCAAGAAAGCTAAGATTAGGAGGGAGATTATGATCCTGAAGACGCTGAAAGGAGGCCCTAATATTATTAAGCTATATTCAGTTGTACGAGACCCGATCTCTAAGATTCCTGCATTGATTACAGAGTTTGTAGAGCTTAAATACAAGCATTTTTATGAGCTTTACAAGACCTTCACTGAGTTCGACATAAAGTTCTATATCTATGAAGTCCTAAAGGCGCTAGATTATTGCCATTCGAAGGGTGTGATACATAGAGATATCAAGCCTCAGAACATTATGATTGATTCTTCAAGAAAGAAACTTAGAGTTATAGACTGGGGTCTGGCTGAATTTTACCACAAAGGACAAAACTACAACTGCAGAGTAGCGTCAAGGTTCTTTAAGGGTCCTGAACTTTTGCTTGACTATAACTACTATGATTACTCACTCGACATGTGGAGTCTCGGTTGAGTTCTTGCAGGACTTATCTTCAAGAAAGAGCCCTTCTTTGAAGGTGAGAATAACGATGACCAACTCGTCAAGATCGCCAAGGTGCTTGGAACAGAAGATCTCTGGAATTATTGTGAGAAATATAACATCATGGTAGACGAAGAGAAAGTTGAGATGCTTCAGAAGCATACTAAGAAAAAATACCAGATCTTTGCCAATTCCTCCAACCAGCATTTGATAAATGACACTGTCTTGGATCTGATTGAGAAAATGCTGCTTTATGATCATGCTGAAAGAATTACACCAAAGGAGGCGATGCAGCATGAATATTTCTATGATGTGCTAGCCTATCATGAGAAATTAAAAGAGCACAAACCCATGGCTGAAAACCAGGATACTGCAGAGATTGCATTAGAAAATGCTTCTGATGGACTTATATCTTAATTTTGAAGATTTTCATTGAGAGTTATATATTTTCAATTTTAGTCAATAAAAATGGGGTTTTGGGGTTTTGGGGTTTTGGGG